AGTAATACCACAGCATTACAGTAAGTATTTAGTTATACTTATGGTAACGTTACGCACACATAATTTTTTACAGTAAGTATTAGTACCACACATAGTAACTACCACACATACAGTAAGTATTAGTACCACACATAGTAACTACCACACATACAGTAAGTATTAGTACCACACATAGTAACTACCACACATACAGTAAGTATTAGTATCACACATGGTAACTACCCCACATACAGTAAGTATTAGTTTCACACATAGTAACTACCACACATACAGTAAGTATTAGTACCACACATAGTAGTAACTACCACACATACAGTAAGTATTAGTACCACAGTAATACACCACAGGCACTATATAGATATATAACTTATTAGAATAATATAGACACACACATGTAACCAACATTATTTTTCGATACTTCAAACATTAAAGTTGACATGAAATTCCGCGTGCACGGGTTCAACCGCGACACGGCTGCATTACGATGTACGAAAGATCACGCAAAGTTGAAAACATTAAGAAATCACGCGTGTAATTTCAATTTCAACCGAGAGGTCGTGAAAACAAGATCACACGCTCGGACCAGGGGTAGAAATTAACTTTTGATCAAGGGAGCCCTGCCCTTAAAAAGAGGGAGTCCGCAGCAAAATCAAGGAGCCTGTAGTCTGAAGTTCAAAACTAAAGATATTTTAACAATAACGCACGTACTTATTTTGAAGAGTCACACGGTTGCACATCTGCCAAATTTTCTTCGGCGATTTGCTAAAAAAATACGGTAATACCGCGAGGCTGTGCTCTGGAACGAACTAGTTAGTATATAGCAGAATTTTCAGGGAGTCACACGGACTCCTGCATATATCAAATCAGGGAGTCCGACAGTAAATCAGGGAGTATTTGACTCCGGACTCGCGTAAATTTCGCACCCTGCGCTCCCTCACCTCGTCGCCCGGAATGATCATGACCTGGTCGTCGCTGTCCTCCACCCCGCTGCCGTCGAGGCTCGACGCCGACATCGTCACGTGATGCTCCCTCACGGCGAGACTGTGCGCGCGCCCGCTGCGCATCGGCGAACTGTCGGCGTCGCCGAGCGAGATCAGAACTCCCGTGTTCGGCTCTCGTTCCTCGCGAGCATCTGCCGCTGCTCCTGATGATGCCGCTGCTGCTGCTGCTGCTGCTGCTGCTGCTGCTGCTGTGACAAAACACACAGTAGTTATTCTACTATAGACGCGAGTAACTAACTAGTAGCTGCTGCTGCTACTGTAACGACACGTGCGCGACAACGCTCTCATTCTATTACACCCCCGAAGCAGCATAGGAAATATCGAAAGTCGCGATTATATTGCGATTATATTCGCATGCGCGCGCGCATTCTAGACGAATGCTCAGGGAACACTCTCGCTTCTCTACGTTACGGCGGACGTCACGCTGTTGCTCATTCTCGTGTTGATGTTAATGTTAATGTTAATGTTAATGTTAATTTAAAGCCCAGGTGTATTGTGGTCTACAATTTTTTTTTACTGGAATGCAGATGTGAACACATGGCTACGTATTATTATTATTATTATTATTATTATCATTATCATTATCATTATCATTATCATTATCATTATCATTATCATTATCATTATCATTATCATTATCATTATCATTATCATTATCATTATCATTATCATTATCATTATCATTATCATTATCATTATCATTATCATTATCATCGTCATTATCATCATCATAATCATCATCACCATCATCATCATCATCATCATCATCATCCTAATCATCGTCACCATCATCATCATCATCATCATCATCATCATCATCATCATCATCATCATCATCACCACCATCATTATTGTTATTATTGGTGGTTGAAGTCATGGAAATGACTGGTCACTCCTGTGGCAGCATTAAATCCTATAATACGGCTATTTAGTAGTCAGATCATTGACCCATGTCATGGCCAAAGCCGATTCTGCTTGATAGGTTGATTAGAGCAAATCCGGTAAGGCAGCACATGAAATCACTCAACCACTCAATGCTGCTAGTTCTTACTCCCCCCCTACTGCTATGTCACAATGTAGAGCCCACCCAAATGAGCAGCGCTTGCTCGCGAGTGTAACGACTTAGCGCTCCTGTTCTATAGCTTCAATATCAGACAATTAACATACAACACAACACACAACACAACACTCAGGCAAACAGCCGTTAACGCACCTGTGCCGCTTCCGAGAGACGGCTGTTTGGACAGACCGGGCACCCTGGTCAACGACGCTTGCCGGATCACGGGCTCCGACGTTCCAAAATGGCCGCTGTTGGAGCATATGTTGGCCTTGGAGATGGTGTGGGCGCTCATGGAGGCCTGCAGGCGCCGTAGCACCTCATCGTCGCTGTCGCTCGACGTGTCCTGGTCTTCATACGAGTAAGCATTACCTGAAATGACGAACGATGCCGGCTTTGGTACTGCATAGCTAGCAGGAGGAAAAGTGCCATGTCAGAGCCTATGATTGGTTACAGCGAAGGCGACTGCGATAAAATAGCTGGTGTTGCAAAACTAACTGCAGCACCTAGTTTGCAGTTACCGTTACCAGGATAAAAAGGGAGAATTTGATGCTGTTAGAGCTATTTGTCCACACATAGGGTGGACTTTATTGTGTGAGAGTAACTAGGTTATAGCCACCAGCACACCCTCAGACAACAGAGTCGTAACAGCAATAACATCAAAATACACGCAAAGAGGGCCGCAGCGTTTATCAAATTAGTCCCGCCTATACATCCCTACATTCAGTCTCAGAATGAGAGGTGCCACCAGTCGCCTTTCAATACACATGCTGTTAAGCCATACGCATTAAACGAACGGGCTAACTGTGCGAATGCAGGCGCTCCATATATCACACAATATGGATCGTAAACATGCCCCGTGGCACACTTCCCATCATTGACCGAATGGGTGGGCCACTAATGGCCATATAGATTGAAATTCCTTGAAGCAAATTCACTCACAGTTTGTCATCGATTAGCTTAGCTTTGTCGATGCTTGACTACTGATGACAGCACGTGCCACTCTCAGATTTTCCCATGCTTTTTTAAGCAATATGTCTAGTATAGAGAGAATTTTATCCTAAAACGAGCCATAATGCTGGCAACCAGACACACGATTTACCAATTATAAGATGTTGTCCATGACCTTTACCCGGATTTTACAGCATTTTCATACAAGCATGTGATTGCATTAATATGAAATCGGACCACACTTTCCATACCAACTTCCTCCTAACCACTCTCCACCCACCACATCTCCTACCCTGCCCCAGTCGGACCCCATGCCCAGCCCTGCTGGTTAGTACCGTAACTACCGTTGACGTTAGCAAGGACAAACCATAACAGAATTGCAGCTGAGAAGAATTTCTTTCAATGGTCGCAATTCCAGCACTGTCCACAATCGTATGTCTATATTTTATCTGACCTCCAGCATCAACGACATAATAAAATACCTCAATAGATAGCAACTAGAGTCATGAGCAACAACCAATATACCATTTATTTTCTACACTATCTAACTAATAGCCTGCTACTAACATCACACTGTGCTAGACGCGTGTACTCACTGAGTTCCTTCACTAGCGTAGCTAACTACACTAGCTTGGCCACGGTGCAGTAGCCTGCTACTAACACCACACTGTGCTAGACGCGTGTACTCACGGAGTTCCTTCACTAGCGTAGCTAACTACAGCTAGCTTGGCCACGGTGCAGTAGCCTGCTACTAACACCACACTATGCTAGACGCGTGTACTCACTGAGTGTAGTTAGCTACGCTAGTGAAGGAACTAGCTTGGCCACGGTGCAGTAGCCTGCTACTAACACCACACTGTGCTAGACGCGTGTAGTCTCACTGAGTTCCATCACTAGCATAGCTAACTACGCTAGCTTGGCCACGGTGCAGTAGCCTGCTACTAACACCACACTATGCTAGACGCGTGTACTCACTGAGTTCTTTCAGCTTCGGATCCTTCTTGCGCAGCGGCTTGTCGCAGCAGGGGAAGCCTCCGACCTCGGAGAAGCACAGCTTCTTGTGCAGGTAGAGGAAGAAGATGACGAGCACGATGACGAAGCCAGCAACGGCGCCGAGAAACGCGTACGCCTGCGGCGGGACTGCAGCAGCGAAACATCACGCGTTACCATGGCGACACCGTACCAGGCGCGCGTCGCGCGTCACCGATCTGTTTGCGTGCGCGATTCCCGCGATATCTCACGCGGTCAGGTGTGTAAATAAACGTGCACAGAGGGGGCGGGGGGAAGTTGTACACACATATGAATTCATACATGAGTATATTCGCATTCATTGCTATTTAACGTTAATCATCGAATATCATATTCTTCTGTCAAAGTTACAGATACAAATGCAACAGACGGTTTCATGCTAAACAGAGACATGCAACAACTGACTATCGGACTCAACATATTAATATTATGAGCATCATGAAATATTTATTGCTTGCCATAACCTGACCTCTCAAAATTATGCTGAGTGAAAGAAATCTATATCCAATTTGGTATAGATAATTAATAACTATCTGTGCATAGCCATACTTTTAATATGTAGCAGAAAAGCCAGCGTTTCACGATCAGAAGTGAATTGCTAAATAGAGATTTTGCTTCGCTCGCTCGAGTCATATAAAACACTACTTAAGCTATTTCAGACTCATCTGAATCATCTGATACCAAAACACGTGATGGTTATGATTGCAGGTTTATTATGACTGCATACTATATCATTTGGCAATTCAATTACACGTTATGTTATAATTACAAACAATTAAAATGAGATATTACATCTACTATTTATAAAGTTAATTAGATTAGTAGAAGGCAGGTGATCCATGCATGCTTATCTCTGTCAAATAAGGTGCAAAAACATTCTGCTATGCCAAACAAAAGTATATATATATATATGTGTGTACAGTTACATGTCACATGACAAACTTATTCACAGTTATTGCGCCCATATGCAAGTCTCTAATTTTGATTAATTGCATGACACACGCAGCCACGTTGATTGTTCAATTTATCATCCATAATTCTTATATTCATTGGTATTGCTGATAGTAGCACACACATATGCACACACGCGCACGCACGCACGCACGCACGCACGCGCACGCACACGCACACGCACACGCACACGCACACGCACACACACACACACACACTAGTGACTGCAGAGTGCCCTGCAATTCTGTCATCGTTCAATATCAAACGAGATTAAAATGAGCAATCAGTGACGCGTGAGTTTCAGTGAGTAGCAGCACAAGAGGCAATCAACTGCTCACACTGCTAAACTGCTGTCGCATACAAATATGAATCCCCGCAATGTAGCGCCAAGCATGTGAAACTACATCGTCCCCAGCTTCACTTCCCAGATACAATGGACTTGCTTGTTCCATATCATGGAAAATGTTAGTGACCGTGAACAAAATATTAATTGCCAACCAACAAAATTGCCTGCAATTCAGCAATAAAATTATTTCTTTTGCTCTGGTTCTTTTACTCTGGTCTCTTTACTTAGGTTTTCACTGACCTATTGTGCCTAATTTTTGTAACTACTAGGCAGAGATTTTAAAACCAGAAACACACTTTATTTTTGGTCACTGGTCTATAACTGTGAGTGGATCTATAATTCACAGTCATGTTTTTAGAAAAGCATACACTAGAGACAAATGGGTTGGACGAGAATGGGGTAAAACAAATCGGAGATTAAAGGGAAGTGCAGAGTAGGTAAGAATTTAGATTTCTAATTAAAGTGATTACGTCACCGTAAAGAATAAAATAAAATAAAAATATGCCAATTTTTCACAAAATATAAGTAATTCTGTTCACTTTTTATGGTTAAATTGCTGCATTATACTTCTTATTTTACTATATTGTTCGATGTGAACATACACTCGTGACTCATACATAGCCCATAGCAAGCAATTAATGACAGGAACATAATATCAAATCGTCCAGGTTTTTTGGATTCTTAACTAGTTGAGAAACAATCTTATCAGGTAAGAATTTGACGATACATTTAGTCCCATTAGTTCTTACTTTTAATGTAGACAAATAGCAACAAAAATTTTACAAATTTTACTCACTAGGAACAGTATAAAGTATAAATTACTAGTGCAGACAGGCATACAAATCTGTTAATAGGGGCATGTGACATACTGAAGAAAATATAGCACCACAGGATTGGGCAAAATAGTACACGTGAGTATGATACTAGAGGTAAATAATCTCAAATTTTAGAGACTGTTTACTCTTGGTCATACTAACACATTGCTAGCTGTATCTGAACTTGCACAGGCTAAAGATATATAGTCACTCTATAATGTTTGTGTCTAAAGACATTCTAATGAAACAACTAACACTCGCAAACGGTCTGCCCTGAATTACGTGTGAACATGTGATAGTGTAAAGTGATGACTTTTGTTGTGAAGAACTTTTATGACACCAGAAACGCCCTTAGTTAGGGAACGCTTCTGGTCCGATATAATATTATATATGCAAATAGATTACTATTAGGACATCTCAACTCTAAAAGATCAATTGCCTTTTTATTCATATAAGGAAGTTTAATTCAATAAGTTTTATTTCATTACAAAGAATATGTTTCAGTTGTAGCACGTTACATATCATTTGCCTGTGAAAGTTTGCATACATTACATATATCACACCATCTGTAGCTACTGAGTATGCATATCAACACAGTACTACATATACATATACATCAGGAGTAGATAATAGGGAAGGAGTGTGACATCAATAAACAAGGGAAATTCGTCATTTACTAGCCTTATAATACCTACGATTTACTACGCGTAACTCATCCAACTTGAGCTCAAATCGTACACAGTACATTCGCCTAGCAGTAGCATCGTGTGAAATCGTTTCCTCGTTTACACAAGCAATCCGGAGATACAGACTAAAACGTACGACACGATTATCCATTCTTTGGCCATCAATCCAAGCCGATTCCCCGAATATATTCAAACAAAAGGCAGCTGCTAACGCGCTATTGCTAACTCGGCGGGCAATGTGGCTCGCTGGGAGATTTGAGCCTGATCAGCTGCTTCTGATTGCGGTTGGTGTGCGTGCGTGGGGGCATGCCAGTATGTGCAGTGGGGGCTGCTGTACGCCGGTATGCCGGCATGTAGCTGTGTACCGGGTCAAAGGTTATCTCGCCAAGTGTTGATGCCTAATCTCCTAGCGAGCCACATGCCTCGCCGAGTTAGCAATAGCGCGTTAGTAGCTGCCTTTTGTTTGTATATATATTCGGGGAATCGGCTTGGATTGATGGCCAAAGAATGGATAATCGTGTCGTACGTTTTAGTCTGTATCTCCGGATTGCTTGTGTAAACGAGGAAATGATTTCGCACGATGCTAGGCGAATGTACTGTGTACGATTTGAGCACAAGTTGGATGAGTTACGCGTAGTAAATCGTAGGTATTATAAGGTTAGTAAATGACGAATTTCCCTTGTTTATTGATGTCACACTCCTTCCCTATTATCTACTCCTGATATACATCAAGGGTTAATAATGACAAATTTGTCATTATTAATCCCTGATATACATAAATAGACGTCTGAATGTGTAATCTCTCAAATAACAATGCTGTGGGCACGGAACTTGTGAAATACTTACTTGACATCGTAGTGTTGTCCTCTGTGTTGTACTTACTTACTTAGAATATGCAGCTTAGAAAATTAGAGTTGAGTAAGTGTTAGATGTGAATTTCCAAAAAAACTGTCATATAGACATCAACATGCTCAAAATTATTAAATGTTACGTATAGCACATTAAAATAACAAGAGCAATCGGAGATAGCAAACCTCCACCACAGCGTAACAGTCCCCCCTCTATGGCCTCTATGGCATACTCTATGACAAATGTAAACATTGAATTGCAGTATTTTAGTTTCTTTATTACAATGTGTATCTAGAATTGCAATATACCTAATAAATTTTATGACTATTAACCAACCATCAACTGCCATGGTTGTAATTATTAGTGCTCATTTTGGAAACCCCTGAAACTGCTGGTAGAGTAGTAGACTTGTTGTCAATATTTTTCCTGGGCAAAAAATGATCAAGAGCCCATCATTTTGCACAGCATGCCCGGTTGTAAGTGCCAATGCCAGGTTGTAATGGAAATGAGTGCAGCGGACAGCCTTGCAGTTATTGATGCCATCAGAAAATGTTATTTTTGGTTTTGTTCGTTGAACGACATGCTTGACAGTTGACACTGCCACTAACAATAAGGTAAAAAAAAGCCTGGTGCCACTTGTAACTGTTATGAGACTAACCGGACATACCTAAATATGCAACAATAGACAGCCACTAATTAGATCTCGGTAAAAGATAGCTCTAGTACAAGGGCTATAGTACTATAGCTTGGTGCTTGCAGCTATACCTTACCCACAATTAATTTTCGTAAATGTGGGGGTAGGCCCTTTAAAACTGCATAACTGCATAACTGCTGTTTTAAACTGGGTTCTTAATACTGGGTCAACTATATATATATATTATATGCTTGGGCCCTATACTACCTAGGTAAACGATAACTATGAGAAGTCTCAAGGAGGTACATTTTCAATTTGATTGGTGTCCGGCTGTGTCTGTGTTCACAGGCACTTGGAGCATTTCAATAAAATATAATGCATAATAAATACGAAATCTATTTACTACCAAAGTCTTATTCTTAATGTTTCTATGCTCTATTTCACCTATTATTGCCGACAATTTTCTGTAAATGCCGTCCAAATGCTCATCTACAACAAACACTGGCTGCCGCCATTGCTGCCGCTGCACACTGACACATAAATATATTCACACATATGACACATAAATATATAATAATATAACACATAAATATATATTCATGTGTCAGTATGCAGCGGCAGCAATGGCGGCAGCCAGTGTTTGTTGTAGATGAGCATTTGGACGGCATTTACAGGAAATTGTCGGCAATAATAGATGAAAGAGAGTATAGAAACATTAAGAATAAGACTTTGGTAGTAAATAGATTTCGTATTTATTTACTATTTAGCATTATATTTTACACAGTGGCTACCGGTATATGCCCGGCAGCCGGCATATATCTGACGGCTGCCGGGCACGGTCTCCGATTTCCTAAATGCCCGGCAGTTTTTAATTTTCAGCGTTATCTCAAGTAAACAAGGGTTAGGGTTAGGGTTAGGAACTGCCAGGCATTTAGGAAATCGAAGACCGTGCCCGGCTGCCGGGCATATAGCCACAGCGGTACGCCGTATATTTTATTGAAACGCTCCAAGTGCCTGTGTCTGTGTTGCCTGTTGGCGTTCCTCTCGCAGCCTGGTAGGTATTAGGTAAAGTATTATATCTACCACTACCAGTGTATCGCTGTTAATACGGGACCGAGTGATCTACACTGGTAAAGCTAGTAAAGTAGTCTATACCAATATTGGCAATATGCAGAGCCGGGCAGTCTATACAGACTCAGTGCAGCCCGTAGCGAGCCCCAAGCGGCTCAAGGATAGAGAGCATGTCCAGTATTCAGTAATAAACATATCCTATCCAATCACCGTCCTGGACATCATCTCTATCCTTGAACTAAACCGACCAGGCTCTCCGACTGTTACACGTCGTAGGACTCTCTCCAAGGGAACTTGTGGCTATCCTTGAACCAGCCAAGCACTGTACTGGGACAGTGGAACAGTAGGCCCTACAGTACAGGCTACAGTAGATACAATAATGTAACCCAAACCCAAGAGGATAGGGGGGTTACATTATTGTATCCCCCCCTATCCTCTTGGGTTTGGGTTACATTATTGTATCTAAGGCTACAGTAGCCACAAGTTCCCATCTCGCTTAACACTACGTGGCGTCCTCCGTCGTGTAACTAGTCGGAGAGCCTGGTCGGTTTAAGGCTACAGCAGATACTGAGATAGGAAATGGGTAATTACCGTATTGGTAGCTCTACTCTAGCCCGCGTACAGTTGCCGTATTGGCTGCAATGACTATAATTATTGTAAGATCCAAACGATTGCGCCAATGTGTTATCACTGCTGATATATGTGACGAATTGTGTTTTCTAAATTCTATGCATTGATAACTAAAACTCACCTATAAAACTTGAAGGATCGATCGCGTTTTCGCCTTTTCGGTTGTTATTGGTACGTGCTGCCACCTTTTGGAATAATATTGGAACTGGTGCGTATCGAATGATATCGTTAGAGAGTATAAAGTCGATCGATCATTTCTCTACCTATCTCTCTCCCTCTCTCTCTCTCTCTCTCTCTCTCTCTTCTAGTATATAATATATATATATATATATATATATTATATATAGTAATATACTATATATATATTATATGATATTATCGTAACATATATATATATATATTTGCGGGCGTCGTGCGCGCGCGCGCGTGTTGTGTGTGTGTGTGTGTGTGTGGTGTGTGTGTGTGTGTGTGTGTGCGCGCACGCCGTGCGTGTGGCAAACGCAGAGAGACATGATAGCAAGATTGTCGTGGGCACAGCTGTTGCTGTTGATCCTACGCGCTGGCCAGCCACCCCGGCCAGTGACGTCCCTACCCAGCCGGTCAGCGGATAGTCCTCGTAGTTTAGAGATCGGCGAATGATTATATATGGACGATATCTAGGAATTTGGAGACTATATAAAACAGGTAACAAAAATCGCTCAGTGCATGCTCCAGATTAGTGACATCAAAACCAATTTTTAGAATTTTATATGAACAAAACAAAACAATGACTTATTAAAATCAGCCGATCTCAGGAACTAAGGCATTCTGCTTGATGTTAGAACGGTTTTCCTAACATACCGAGTTTTGCCACAAATTGCGAAATAAACACGCTGTTTTAGCGCACGTGCGCTATCGTCCTTCTGCTTTGTTAATTATTCGCATCAGCTCTGGTAATCAGATATATAGCCCCGCTTCTTGTTGATGGACATGAATGGGGCGTCACGACGTGACCAGGTTACTGTAACCTATCTGTCTTTTGCCAGCGCTGCGCGTTTACGTTTCGTAAATAATAAAATACCCGGCCGATGTCATTTTCGCCATCGGACGAGTGGATAGCATTTTTTGGCCATTATTTCACTCGCTGTCGGAAGTGAACGAGTGCGTCATTCATTGAACATGAAGGTTTTTCTTCAAATTAAAGTATAATTCCGACAAATCCTGCCTACTCGAGTTGTTTTAGGCAATGAACGTAGCTGTGTGTGACAGTCTTGCCCCGCGCGCCTGTATGCTTGGTCTTAGGGCGTGGCTCGAAATGGATATCGAGGCAGGCACTTAACAACATCGCGTTGTTATGATTTTACAGATAGCTTTGTGACGGTACGCTGGGGTCGGGATTGTTCTGCGACTGATAACCTCATAATTTCTTACGGTCATGGAACATTTTATCCAAGTTAGTGATGTCAAGTTAAGTCATGGATATGTCACAATAAGTGATAACCGTATTATGTTTCACATACGTTCACATATTTTGCACACAGCCGCCGGTCGATCATTGTGAAAAATTGTGTGAACATTATATTTTTATTGCGAGATGTTACAAGTGGCCTGTGCTTTCAACAGTCCTTGTACGTCCAATGCAGCGTGCGTCAAGAGCCACAGACTCAACACAATTTCATACTCTTGTATTGTTTCGGCCTGACATCGCGTGTCATTGATCAGGGAGGGGTGCAAGTGTAAAGGGAACATTTTCTTTGGGGTTCCGCAAAAACACAATTCGCATTCTGACGAAGTTGCAGGAGCCATTTCAATTGGAAGCTCTGCATAAAGCGACCCCCAACAAGCCCTTTGGACTGACTAGTCAAGAAATTCAAAAGGTCTGCTAAGGTTGTTTTTTATGTTTAGCCACAATAGTCTTATTCTAGAAGACAAGAGTACTTCATTGGTTATGCTTCTAAAAACTACCAGACCCTATCCGCTGACGCTCGTGGGATGTTGCTCGCGCCTCGAATTTTGGCCGCTACGTCTCCACTGCGGACAGCCGGCTTCTACTTGAACATCCCGCTGGTCGCGTGCGCGTGTCTCATTCGCGTGCAGTGCTCAGATCCAACAAGAAAGCTGCTGCCACGCAATTTTGTATACGTCTCTTTTGGACTAGCTCTACTATATTTTTATAGTGACCACCGCCAGCACCCTTTTTTGAACGTCTGTGTCTTGACTCCAGGAGAAAGCTATAGCTGGGTGTGCTATGTCTATAAGAATTACTGCACAAGGCCTTGTTAGCGGTCAGACGCGCAGGGGTCGTCTGACCCGCAAATCTTCATAAACGAGATTTCAATAACCACCAACTGTTAGTTTTAATTAGCAGGTTATTTATGCCTTCACCATGGTGGAAGCAGTTATATCAATTGTTTCTGGTTCTGTAAAATATGTTGATGATGGTGAAGAGAGTGCCGCTAAGAGGCTAAAAGAATACGCGACAGAGTATACGGCCATCTAAAAATTTCGTCGATGACAGACAGTCAGGAACTTAGATTCTTCATGCCACTTTCACCTTTCCTACGTACCTCTCACTTCATCCACATCACCCCGTTCTCCTTCTCTAGCACTCATCCTTTATTATCTAACCCCCATTTTCTCCTCCCCTTTCTCCTCTCCTCACGGTTTCCTCCTCCATATATTTTCAATCTTTTCTTTTAAGAATTTTATTTCACCATAGCGATGTATTAATATATTCAATATATACTATAGTACTTTTATAGAATATTATTTATTCTATACTATATACCTCAAATATACTTTGTACAGGGGGTCTCTATCTCTTCATCCCCCATGATCGTCATCCACACTACCAAATCCCAATCCGCCTACGTAGTAAGATGCTTTCCGGCATATAGAGCTCGCTACTCCTCGGCAGACGCCTTAAAAAAGTATCTCTATATAACCGCATGAGATATATAAAAAACACATGTTTGCTATATATCCATGATAGTTTCACATAAGCAGTTCAAATACATTTCATGCTGCATATAGCATGCATTTGCTGTCAGTACATCATAATACGAGGCTTTGGCGCCACTTGCTGTTTCTTGAATGGTTGTACCGCGAGTACCCCTTTCCGCTACGACGACGACATCTAAGTCATGTTTATGATTTCATTGTAATTTTTATACCTTTTTAGCGGGTTTTATAGTTATGTAGGGCTGCAGAGCTAGTTCATTTATCAAATTTATTTATAACAAGTGCTAATACTCCTGATGGTGTCTCCAATAGCCAAACTAGGTTAATTTGGCTCTCCAAACAAATATAGTTCGAGAAACGATTGCTAGTCTGCATTGAACGACGGGGCCTAATCTAGCAGAGGTTATAGCAGAGTATGGTTTGTATGCCGGGTTTTGCGAACAATGTAAGTTTACACCTGGAGTCACTCAGTATGTACCCTCCTACTGACAGTGTGAAGCACTGTACAGGCACTTGACTTAGGCTGTTTGAAAAAACGATAGTAAGATAAATGCAAGTTATATTAAGGCGATGTTACTCATATAGTAGGTACTAGATACACCATTAATGTATAACCCAAACCACAAGAGGATAGGGTTACAAGTCTCCTATCTTCTTCTCTGCGGCGGGATATGCCCGAGTGACAGATCACATCGAGGCTCGGTTTGCTGGTGCGTTCCTTCAGATATCTAAGAGAACTTTCCAAACCTGGGTTTATTCTCAAGCACGGAACCTTTCTGCGCGTCATTGCGGGGAACTTACTAATGTATCGCAATACTCTCGTATTAAACTGAATATATAACCTGTTACAAAATGTCGAAGTGATCTGAGCGGCCGAATATACTGAGCGCGCCATTTTCTTGTTGACACTCGTGGACGTACTTCGGTGTTGAAGAGCGGAATTCACGCCAACTCGGATGGTGCGCTAGTTTCGGATCGCTAGCGCATTGGGAAAGCTCATACGTCACAGGTCTAACCGAAATGGCGCTCAGTATAATTCGCTCCGCTCGTCACTTCGAATTTTGTGGAACAGGTTATATTAGTTCTTAATACAGAGTATTGTGCCAAACATAGTAGTCTCGCCGAAGATAGCGGAGAAGAGGTTCGTTGGTTGCAGATAAACCCAGTTCTGGAAGCTTCCCACCAGCTGCCCCTCATCTTCGCAAAAACGCTCCGCGCCCTCACCCTGCACAACCGCGCCCGAGTGATTCACGTCAGGGCATTCCTCACGCAAGAAAAGGCACCCTTTATGGTACGCACTTCCGCGTTGCTATAACCCCTTCATTCCCCACTTTGTGGTCTTAGCTGCGTTACATTGATGTATCCTAATACGTAGCTTACATAGCTCCTAGTTACTATTAGCCCGCGTCCGACCATTATACTGCGCTCCGGCGCCCGCGTATAGCACTTCAAGCCATTACCGAATGCTCCCGGGTAGCCAACTTAGCTCAGCAGGTCAGCTGGAGACGCTATGATCCTTTCGCACTTGGAGCGGGTGCGGCGGGTTTGTGTTGGGTTGTGTGACAAAAACATTGTTGTTGTCAAGTAACCAAATTAATAATACTTAATAGTAATTTGTTCATCTTTCATGTACAAAACTACCTCATATGATTTACAACTCTTCTTTGATCGTCTTTAATTTGTTACTTGACAACAACAATGTTTCCTTGTCCACAACCACCCCAACCCCGCCCACCCCTCCACCATGCGGAAATACATAGTTCCCGCTGACTGGCGCTGCTGCAGCGCCGCCCAGAAATGGACCGTTGAAGTTCGCAAATCGAATGTTTGCTTCACAGAAATTACCGCAAGTTTATACCCACTGCCGAACAGCATTAGTTTAGAGGGTGTCCAGTTCTCCAGCTAACGCGGACTGATACTTTAATACACTATTTCACTTCGACCGAATCAGAGGCCATTTAAATTGGCCTTACCCACAGCCGTTTTACTAGTTCGTCTCCGGACTATAAATCGGGCCGATAAGTTGGTCCATCCGTAAATTGCCCCATATGGGTCGGTTCCTATTTAGGCCCTCAAGCGCGAGTTTATGTAAGCGGCGCATAGTACCTACGCAGCTCCAACTAGGCCTTCTGTCACAGTACTACATCATTAAACCATTAAACATTTGATTATTTATCCTCGGCCTGATGACGAGTCTGTCGTTGGGTTTTTTTTTTTTCCTCTCTTGCTTTCTTTTTTTTCTCCGTCGTTCGGGGATCCTTCTTTTTTGTCTCTTTTTTGTTTTTTTTCGTTTTCTGTCTTTTTCCATTTGTTGTCTGCTCTGCCTTCCTGCCGCATCGTTCTTCAATCTTTCTTTCTCGTTTTTTGTGGTTTTTGTTTCTATCTCTTTGTTTTCGCAGTTTATACTGATTCGTTTTTTGTGTTTTTGTGTGTGTGCTTGGTTGTGATCCTGTCCTCTTGTTCGTCTTTCTCATTCTCGTTGTCTGTTGTCCTGTGTCCTGTCTCTGACTTGTGTCTTCTTTTTTTTTTGTTGTTTTTCTTTCTTATTCACTCTCTTTGCTGTTTTTCGCACTTTTTTTTGTTTCTTATTTTATTAACTTCTTCTTACTTTCTTTTTTCTTGCATTCCTCTGTGTCCAGCTTTTGTCTCTGTTTCTCCGTTTTCTCACTTCTTTCTTCTTCTTGCGTTTTCTTCATTGGTCTGCTCCTCTCCTCTTGTGTCTGTTGCCTCTCCTGCATTTTCCGCTCTCCACTTCGCCTCACCGCAGACCTCATATCCGTTTCTGTTTGTTCGTTCGCTTTTCTTGATTTCTCGTTTTGTCCTTCGTTTTTTACCCCTGTGGCTTCCGTGTGTCGTTTCCGCTCTTTTTCTTTTTGGTTCTTTTTTCTCTTTTCCTTTGGTCTGCTTTCTTTTCCTCATTTGCTCTTTTTCTTTACTTTTTTCTTTCCTGTGCTTTCTGTTCCTTTGCTTATTTTCTTTTTTTTAGACCGTTTTTTTTTCTCTGTTTCTTTCTTGTTTCTTCCTTTTCTTTCTTGTGCGTTTCTCGGTGTTCCATTTTTTTTTCTTTTTTTTTCTTTTTTTTTCCATGGGAAGCCAGACCACAGTCTCGAGTTGGTTGTCAAGCATGAGTGGTTGACGGACAGCCGTATAGTGAACCTCGGTGCCAAAATATTCAGTGGATTTGTTCGTATATCGCTATATTGTAATTTTTTGTCTTGCGTACTCGGACTCGCACAACTTTTCCCGTGTATGGCTTTGCTGTACTGTGTAGCCCCTCGCTGCCCCTGGTCCACATGACCTTCCTCCTCTAATTGCCATCTCACCTCGTTCCTCTGCCTCCCCATATCGTCCCCCCGTCTGTCTCCACCAGTGACGTCCACTTCCCCCTCCTAGCTCACAATGCAACTAATGTCTGTTCCCTCCTCGCGTCGACCAAACCACCTAGCAGCACACCGACAGTGCGGCTGCGGCCAGCGTCTATATTCAAGCTTGGCTACGGAGATATGACTGTACGCATATATTTGCTAATATATTGACCTAATCGTCGCGTCAATATAACGTCAATATTCACAGAGAGTATAGCTATAAGACATGTGTCTATAGGTATACTAGAATGTATTATGCAAAAGAATCTCCCGTACCGGCTTGAATTTCATTACTAATACTAGTACTAGCTTGTGATATTGAGTTTATTGACGCATCGAAGCGCGCACGGATTAGTTCATGCTTAGTCCTGCACATTAGTATCGCGCCGTGTGAAGCAATTTTCAGATGATTAAATTTTTTAATATTCTAGAATACCTATAGGACACATTGTTCTTAGCTATACACTCCTGTGAATATTGAGTTTAATTGACGCTAACGATTATAGTCAACTATATTAGCAAATATAATTGCGTTACCGTAATTGCCCGTACGGCTTGAATATAGACGACCGCCCGAATGGAGCCGCTGCTGTTCAGAAGAATAGAGATTGAGTGTCCAGATGGAGACCTATGTTCATTTCCGTAAATTGTGGCGGTAGCCCCTTTAACAATCGACAGGGCGTGGGCTTAAACGCGTGCTTCTTTGTTCATATCTCGACGAGAAACATTATGTGACTTCACAGGAAGTGTGGCAAAAAACTGCTTTTCAGCGAGATAACTCGCCCGTTTCCCACTGTTTCCCACCACTGCTACGCCGTCTTTCGTTCTCCTGACTAATTGCTGTAGCCATCTGTCTCTCCTCTCGGCTACGCAGCTCAAAGAATGATCGTTATTTTTGTCCACTTGAAATGACTGCTGATTGCGCATGGTCCAAACGACCACATAATTCCTTGGCCTATGCGTTGCGTGCATTGAGCGGTGCGTTACTACGGTTTGTTTTCATCGGCTCGAATCTACATCCGGTCAAATAGTCAAAAGTTCCCGGATGTCTGCCCCCCACCTATAGCAAACGGATACATGCGTAAGGAGAGCTAGGTGACCTGGCTTAGTGTGATTAAGGTGTGCAACCTGGATTGCACCATACCTAAAACGGTCCGTAGTCAACTCGTCTCGCCTCGCCGGCAAACTCGACCAATGTGTTGAGGTTACCCGCCCAGGGTTCTCCCCAGAATGAAATTGAAACAGGGGAGAGGGGGAGGGGGAGGGGAAACTAGGGGAGTCCGCGGGGCGTTTTTTTTTACCGTAATGCGTACAATCGCCACCACACCATAGACGGTATTTGGGGTACTTGTATATAAGATAGCCGAGTCGGTTTATGGTTTACAGTTAGTGTTAGGGTTTGTACTTGTGTGTGGTCTGCAGTGCATGCGTAGTGTAGGAGGTTTACGCATTAGTGGTACCGTAAAAATACACGCGTCCGGGGGCCTGGTCGAATGGGAATTCTTGACGATCGATTCCCGCGCTGTCAAACTTTTATTGTGGTGGAATTTAATCGGGGCGGAGGTAATTTTAACGGGGCGCAACGATTGAAACATGGAGGGAGCTTTCCCAAACGGGGCGGGCGCGCCCGGTGTGCGCAACGTAGGGAGAGGCCTGCCGCCTGGAGGTCAGCCAGCCCGGCTCGTGGGTTGAATCTCCAGGCGAGTAAACTAGCTGCAAGCGAGCCGAATTGGCGGGTGGGTCGAGTTCACCGGTGCCCCCTACAACTACTGAGCCTACTAACCGTAAACTCAGTTTGGTCCAATTTTGACCAATCTGTTCTTCTACAGCAGGCAGTGCAGCTGTATGTGAGGGTTTGTTTGGTTGCGCAAAGCAGGATCCCGGTTACAAATTGATAGTCCTGTTGGCCAAGCAGGTGTACCGTAGAGTTTGGACGCTCGCCCGAAGCTGGACGCTCCTAAGTGCGCATGCGCGCAGGCGAATCTTGTTTTGCAGGGCTGTAGGAAATAGTAGCCATGCTCTTTTGTTGTCTTTTTGTTTCGCCTTTTAACCTGACACACATAACACAGTCTTACTAACTTACTACATATTGCAAATTGTTTCAATCAAATGATTGCATCAGTGACCAGGTTGCCTGCCATGTTTGTTTATTGCGACCGTTTTTGATGGGCGAGATGCGCAGCACAGCATCTGCGCCCTTCCAAAAGAGTCCAATTTCGGGCGAGCGTCCAAACTCTACGGTACACCGGTGATATTTGAGTGGTTTGAATATGGCCAATCAGCACTCACTGTTAGTTAAAAACGGACGTACTTATTTCATAACGTCAAACATGCCAACTTCAGAATGAAAGTCCACTTGGAGACTTCGTCTGTTGTCCATAATTTCTCGCCAGGTTGCCAGTGAGTTTATCAGAAGAATACCTGGCTACAGTACACGTCAGTTGAGCGCTGTCGCTCTGCGGCACTTGTTTAAATTTACATCTTATGCGTATGTACAGTTGCTATCTGTCAGAATGTCAACTGGGTTCATATAAGGTTTAATTCTCACTATGGTGACCGAATACCCCATCGAAATGTCGCAATTGTGATTGTTATAATTACATTCCACGTTTAATTTCAGCATACCACTGGGCGGACATGCAACTAAAAATGAGGTTTCTTGGACTAAAGCCAACAAATATAGAGAAACTCAACGAAGCGATGGCGATAGAGCTAGGTACGGACATGTTGGGTGAAATGGCGATATTCACGATGGCAGCGGCGATATTATATCTTGAGTCGTGGAGATCTTCATCAAAGGACCAGCGCAAGGAGAACCAACAGAATGTGCAATTAGATAAACTAACAGAGAGTGTACAAGAAATGTCAATCACTGTAGCAGAGCAAGATGCCAAAATACGAGAGCTGATGCACAGGCTGGCCGAGCTGAATGCACCAAACTATAAAAAGGTCATACAATTTGTTGTAACGAAAGATCCTGACGAGAAGCCAAGCAGATAGTGAAATAGATGCAAGTATCTGAATCTTGATTTCTTTCTATCTGGTTCGTATGAAATTGTGCGAAATAGCATTTACAATCTTTAGTCATCAGCTTTTTAGCTCAGTATGGATAGCAGTTGGGTATATTATTTGTGCTAACAACATGCAATGTTGAATATGACTTAGGAAATGCATTCTTAAAACACCAATCGAACCAGATCTACATATATATATATAGTTTGAAACCCCAAGTGTGTAGCAATATTTGTGTCTCTGTAATTACATGCGATGCAGTCATTTCTAAACCTGCAGCATCCCAGCAGACACACGTATGATATACGCATCAATCAACAGCATTCTAATTGCATAGGGGACTTCCCTTGTGGCATTTGTGGTTGGTCTGGCCTGTACTATCATGACTACAACTTCAGCTTGTTAGTGAAACACATGGAGTGGTTCCCATGTGAATGCAATTGTGTGGTACAGTCATCCGTGCTTAACTGTAGGTTTGCTACCTGCAGTTTTGAGCAGCCACGGAAAATATATTGTTGACTAAATTTAATAATCGCTGCACTTAGTTTTGAGCATCTGTGGTTCGTCGAAGTTAAAAAATGCGTATGATGATATCACTACTCTTTTACTTCCACCTTCCACCCCATGTTATTCCTAATATTTCCATTCTGCCTGTCTTGATTTCTAGCTCTCAGGATAGCCTTTCAACCCATACGACACATCCATGGGAGCCACTAGCATTGTAACCAATCAGTCTTCTCATGATCGAGTGTATAGGGCATGCAAAGCAACATTAAAATTTGGTAACTGTGACACTGGAATAAAATCCCCTTATTTTAATAGGACTCGCATCTACTAATAAGGTGTTAGTCTCGCAAGACGTGGTGTTTTCAACTATAGGGTTTATCACGAATGCAACCTCTGCAGTTGGTCTAACACAGGTATTGTCTATTGTATTGCATCGATATATAGTTCCTCTCACACTTATATATATAGTTAAATAGCTGGTGAAACGATGGAATTCAGTATAAACATAGCATACTGGAGTGCCTTGTTGAAAATTATGAATGATCATTGTACACTAGTCAGGTGTTTTATAGCAACAATCATTGATTGTCCCATATAGATGAGTAACGCAAATGGCACCTCTATATGTGCCACAAGTGAGTCTTATAAACGATGGGAATTTAAAATGTTTCTATTCTGAAACCGAAAATGACCATTTAGATATAGTGTTTATATGTGAAGTGCATATAAATCTAGCTAAATAATAAAATTATGTTATAAATTGAATTTTTTTTACACTAGTTTATATTCCTCCTGATAGTTCCTGATAGTTTATATCAGTGATATATTTTTGGTATCATGGCGATTTTTTGGACCTTGATAAGTTGCACGTATTCATACAAGTGTTGCAAGGGTATGGTGTTACAAGTAATAACATTTTCTGCTAATTATTAGCTCATCTGACGTAGTCAGGTGCAGCTTGTAGAATCGCATGATCGTCCGTCCGTCCGTCCGTCCGTCAACAGTTGGGCACAAATCTTAACCGCTCGATGTACGGTCACGATATTCGGGACGTGGGGGGGTAATCCGAAAACGAGTTGGGATGTCGAAGCTGGGGGTCG